ATGGTATCGGGACGTTTGCCGCGTAGTTCGTTCACGAAGTTTGACGGCTGGGATTAATCCGAACAATTCCTCAGAGCACTCTCCATGGTATATGCGAAAGAAAATGCAATGATATGCAACATCTCTTCGAGGTGCCAGTGAATTGAACCGATCGGAAAGCACTCGGTCGTCGAGGATTCGAGCCGCTCTATGCTGGATGCGGTCAAGTGGAAGAAGCTGGTACTGAGAGCCCCAGCCCAGAGATAGGAACAGTATTACATGTGCGGCCGAACCTGCGCCTTGTTGCAAGTTGCAGGCGGTGTGCCGGCATGAAATACTGTCCCGCTCTGCTGAGCACGCCAAGTTTTAAGAGGCCAATTTGGCCTTCTCTTCCAATTGACCACGAAACTGCACGTCACTCGATATGTCGACGCCGAGGATTCTGATACTGGCTGAGGCAACAAGGGGAGTGCCTTGAAACTGAGGAGATACGACAAAGGGGTTCTTTTTAGCGGTTAACGCGCAACCTTGTGTTTTCTGGGGGTTAAACTGGACTGGATTTAGTCGTCCCCAATTCAAGACTCTGTTCAGCAAAGACTCGACTTCAGACACAAGTTTGTCCCGGCACTCGGAGACGTTTTCCCGAGAAATATTGGCTCGGCCGGTGTAAAGAGCATCACCAGTGCTGTCATCTGCATAGCAATGAATGTTACGGGTTTGCAACATATCATTGATAGGCAGAAGAAACAGCGTTGGCGATAGCACGCAGCCTTGTGGAACACCAGCCAGTAGGCTTGCAATCGTAGCTTGCACCATCTACAACAACCTAGATGCTCCGATCTGCAAGAAAGCTGGTGATCCAATCGCACAATTTATCGAGAAGCCAATAGGAAGGGAGCTTCGAAAGAAGCGCTTTGTGCTAAACAAGATCGAAGGCCTTCGCAATGTCCAAACTAACGGCCAAAGCCTTCCCCTTGGACTCTACTGCCTCCGCCCATCTGTGAGTTAGGTAGACCAGATGATCACCAGCTGACCTACCACGGTGAAAACCGTATTGGCGGTCACTAATCAGCTGGTGATCCTCCAGGTACCTCATGAGCTGGCAGTTTACAAAGGAATCCATTGTTTTGGAGAACAAGGAGGTGATGGCGATAGGCCGGTAGTTCGACCGGTCTGAGCGGTTGCCTTTTTAATGATCAGGTGGACGAAAGCCGTCTTCCATGATTTTGGGACTACGCCTAGGGAGTAGGAGTACCGGAAAAGACGCGTTAAAACCGGTTCCAACTCTAGAGCACACGTCCTCAGCACAATTCGGGGGATTCCGTCAGGCCCACTTAACTTGTGGATATCCAGGGAGAGGAGTGCTTGGCGAACCGAGCGCTGTGTGAACTGCTCTTCCGGCATGGAGTACTCACACCGCGGGATGGTCGGCGGCGTACTCCCCCCATCATCGAAAGTCGAGTTGGAGGCAAAGAAAGAGCCTAGAAGATCGGATTTCTCTTTTGCGGTATGGGCCAGTGAGTCGTCCTACCTGTGCAGAGATGGAAGAGATGGCTGACAGAAATTCCCCTGGACAGCCTTGGCGAGAGACCAGAATGCACGGGTTCCAGAAGGAAGGCGAACTAGTTTCTCGCCAATTCTGCATATGTGCTCTTAATTTGCCTTGGCAATGACTCTTTTGAAGGACCTAGAGGCGGAATTATACTTCTTTTTTAGCGCTGGTGTTTACATCCCGGGACGCAGGTCGATCCTGTAAAATAGCATGATGCTATTTTACAGGATCGACCAAACCATGGCTGAGATTTGCCTCCAATGGGCACCACAGTGGAAGGAATAAAAAAGTTTCATACCCTGAAGTACCACATCAGCGACAGAATCCGCAACAACATTGGGATCGTCCGGCGAGAAGCAAACCCGCCTCCAAGTGTAGGATGCAAAGAAAGACCGCATCCCATCCCAATCGGCTGACCTATAGTGACAAACACGGCGGCAGTCTGCAGAATGCAACAGCGATTTCAGCGTGAGTGTTACTACACTCCGGACAAGACAATGGTCTGAGGAGCCTAAAGTGGCGTCGACGGAAATCTGATATCCGTCCGGATGAGAGGTCAGCAGAAGGTCCAACAGGGAAGGTGCATGATCCTCCACATCTAGAATCCGCGTAGGCGAAGTAACCAGTTGTGTCAGACCATATGCCAAGGCAAAATCATGAACAGATCTCCCCGCATGATCGGTTAAACGTGAACTAAGCCATTCGGCATGATGGGCGTTAAAGTTGCCGAGGATCACGATCTCTGCGTAGGGGATCTGCTGTAGCAACGAATCTGTAGCCATTTGGACATGGTCGAATAGTCGGTGTGTTTGGGCATTACCGCTATGGGACCTATAGAGGCACCCGTAGACGCGCGGATGGTCATCGCTGTCTACGCGTAGCCAAAGAATGGACAGGTCCGATCCTTCAAGTCTGCCGAGGCGTTGAGAACAGATGTCCTCTCTGACGTTAACGCCAACTCCAGCCCGAGGCACAAAGGAGTGTTCCAGTTTGTACCCCGGGTAGGAGAGATACGAGACATCAGCCTGAGAGGACATCTGCATCTCGGTCAGAAAGAGCAGATCTGGCCTCGCTGTCTCGAGATGGTAGTGGACGGCATTTAGGTTAGACTGAAGTCCCCTGATATTGCAGAAATTCACGGACAGCGTGGCAGGGGTCGCCTTAGTCTTGTTGCTCCGTTTGCCCCTAGCAGTTATAGTCTTGAGCGGAATTTTGACCCCCCCCCCAGAATACGCGGGGCAGCCTGAGCACCCACGCTCAGAAGTAAAGAAACATGGTCGTGGATGCTCAGCGAGGGATTCTCCAGGGGTGCTATTACCCTCCTGGGGTAGTCTATCATTTAAAAAGTTAAATATACGCGATAAATTCCGTAAAAACTAGTATTACTTCAATGTGTAGTGTTCGCGTAAATATAGGAAATCATTAGTCTATCATCATTTAATTCCGCTACATTGTTGAAAGGGGGGATTTGGGCTTTCGGCTACCTGCACTTACCTGACGAAACGCGGAAGCGGAGCTTCCACTTTAGGCCGGTATTCTGTGAGGTCGTGGTACCACCCCCGTTTGAGCCGACCCATACGTGCAACAGCAAAGCTGCCGCGTGACTCTGCACTGTTAAAAAAAAATTTAAAAAATTACTTATTAATGACACCAACAAAGCTGCAGAAAATCTTGTAGATAGAATAAAAAATGTGATAAATAAAAACATACAAGCTATTAAAATCTTTTACAAATAAATTGTATAACAATTATAAAAAGTCTACAAATAATAACACACTCAAATTTAAATACATAAATTATAGAAACATATGTAATAAAATAATTGAAACTCTTAAATTAATTATTACAAGTAGCAATTTACAAAACATCTTAAAGATAGTAAGAAAACGTGGAAGCTAATTTAAAGAAGTTGGGGGTTTCACACAAAGAATCGAAACAGCTGAATGTCTCTTGAATATAAAGGAATCCCGTAATGAAATCAATAATTATTTTACAAGTATTGGCAACAGTGTAGCTAATAATACACTCAAAAACATAAATACTACAGACGTTTAATTAGCTTCCAAAATCTTTAAAAAAAGTTCTCCACTAAACTCATTTGTGTTTTATCAAGTTGATCCTATGGAAGTAGTAAGTGCCATAAAGAACCTCAGGCAATTTAGTGCAACTGGCTGGCTACATTTGTGTAACCTGAGCTTTAATACCTTCCCTAATATATTCAAAAGAACAATAGTTACACCATTATACAAATCAGATGACAAAAGACTTCCCACCAACTATAGGCCCATTTCATTGTTGACTTCCTTATCTAAGGTTATAGAAAAAATTGTAAACAAAAGACTCTTAAGATATTTGGAACAACATAAATTTTATCCAATAACCAGTTTGGATTTCGATGCGGACGATCTACGCATGATTCCGTTCAAAATATTACATCACAAATTGTCAATCATCGGAATGCGGGTGATAAATGCCTTAGCGTGTTTTTGGATCTTCAAAAAGCATTCGATAAAGTGTCTATTCCCATCCTACTGGCACGTATGGAAGGCCTTGGGATAAGAGGTACCCCGCTAATGCGGTTTAAAGACTATCTGATTGAAAGAAAACAAAACGTACGACTTCATAACTTACTAAGTGACAGCGCATCCTGTACATATGGTATTCCACAAGGAAGTACATTAGGCCCCACAATGTTCGTGATCTACATTAATGACCTGTGTAATACAGTAGTAAATGGTCCAACAATTCAGATGTTTGCAGACGATATTGTACTTCTATTTCGGGAACGAACCTGGAACTCAGTATACAAGTTAGCTGAAGAAGGTTTAAAATCGTTACTGCATGGCTGGAAGACAACCTATCAATAAATACGTCTAAAACAAAGTTCTTAAGCTTTAGTATTACAAATGCTTGCAAGCCGAGTGTAAATTCAAAATTAGTAATACATAAATTTCCTTGGTTTCCAAACACCACACCTGAAAACTTATTGCGTAGTGACAATGTAAAATACATGGGCGTAATTATTGATGACAAGTTAAATTGGTTATCACATATCACTGCTGTTAGTAACAAATTAAGGAAGCTCATATATGTGTTTAAAAATTTAGGAGATGTTTTGGATAATGAGGCTATAACGAAAGTATATAAAGCCCTTGCAGAATGTGTTATGACTTACTGCATTAGTTCTTGGGGTGGGGCAGCTAAAACACACCTCATCGAACTCGAACGTGCGCAGCGTGCTTTATTGAAAGTTATTAAAGGCCTACCTTTTAAACACCCGACTGAGGGCTTACACAAAATATGTGGCGTACTTACCAAACGAAAGTTATGTATATATTTTCCATTCTATTCGTAAATATCACAAAAGTACTGCTTCTTAAATATAAATAAGTGATAAGAGGACGGTCCGCTATCACTTGTCTGCCTATAAGCGCAACTTCTATGAAGACACTTTAACTACTCTGCTACATTACTGTACAACAAATTAAATACAATTTTTAAAACCGCGTATCTCAGTAATCATAATATTAAGTCAATTTTACTAAAGTGGTTAAGTAATTGTAACTATGACGCTACTGAGAATCTTATCGCGCGCACGCACACACACACACACACACATACACACAAACACACACACACATGCAAAAACAGTTTTTATTTACTTTATTGGGGTATATTTATAATTTTCTCATCTGGTTGGTTTCTAAAAATATATAATTATAAATTAAAATGAAAATTGAATAAAACTAAATTTATGGATTTTATCGCGTTTATTTCACTACTTTTACTTATTTTTAATTCCCGACGTTTCGGGTGCTTTACAGCAACCATGGTCACGGGGGGGGACTGAGATGTTTGACATCCCAATGTCATAGTTAGTCCGGCTACCTTCAGTTTTTGAATATTAATTTTATTCAATGTGTAGTGTTCGCGTAAATTTAAGAAATCATTATGTGAACCAGTACGGACTGGTAATAGCAAAAAAAAATAAAATTCGCCGATTAGAAGATCTTAAAACCAAGCGCATATAACAACTTTAAATTTCTTGAAGTGATGCAGAGACCATAATCTCATTCCCACGTGTGTCAAAATATCAACAAAAAAGGACATTCGAGGAAGCGCAAATATCTTAAATCAGGCAAGTAAAAAGTTGTTACGAACGGTGATTCAGCAGAAACGGTTCAATTTACATTTCATAAACAACACCATAGACAATTTGTTCAGTGAACTAAAGACAGTTTTAACGACATTTGATTTTAATAATTGCATCGAAACTTTAAACAAACGAGAAACAGCAATATACAATGAATGCAAAAATAAACAAATAGAAAAATACCAAAAATTAACGATCAAATCAAATGCCAACCATCTAAGTCAACGTCAGAACGAAATACAACCGTTGACTACAGACGCAAACAATAAACAACGCACGGTCTATAATCTGTCAAAACATACACTGGACGAACCAACAATAAAGGTGTTAGCGAAGGGAATGAATTTCGCATTAACACCGCGAAAAATCCCGTACGAAGAAATTATCTGCAGCGTTGAGGATTGTCTGTTTAAAAATAATATTGGTAAGGAAGATTTGGAGGCTATACGTCAAGATATTTCGTCCTTGTTACATCGTAGTTCAGTGCCGAAACCAAACCTTCCTAAAGACGAATTTACAGCGTTGATTAAATTACGGAACAGACCAGATCTAACGATTCTCCGCGCGGATAAAGGAAATGCTACGGTAATAATGGACACGTCAGAGTATAATTTTAAAATACTAAAGCTTTTATCGGACGAAAGTACATACAAAAAGGTCAAAACAGACCCCACAACTAACACGCTTACACTTTACTAGCGATTTAATAAAGAAACACTCCGAAAAATTAAATCTCGACGTGAATTCGCTGATACCATCATGTACCAAACCACCGAGGTTGTATGGGTTACCAAAAATACACAAACCAAACGCTCCACTACGTCCTATAGTGAGCCAGATCGATTTACCAACTTATAAGCTGGCACAACACTTGGCAAAAGTACTGTCACCACTGAGAGGAGATACCAGAGCACACACAAAGGATTCATACCATTTTGTTAGTGAGATAAAAGACCTACATCTCGCTGACAATGAAACTATGGTCAGTTTTGATGTTCAGTCACTATTCACATGCCTACCTATTGAAGACTGCATATCAATTGTAACTAGGAAGCTAGAATACAATAACATGCCTGCTGAATATGCAGTATTACTCAAACACTGCCTCACATCTGGCTATCTATTGTGGAAGGAAGAGTTCTACAAGCAAGTAGATGGTGTGGCGATGGGCTCACCTGTATCTCCCATAGTCGCTGACATATTCATGGAGGACTTCGAGGAGAGTCACAGACAAAGTTGGCTACATCTTGAAGCGAGCTTCTATTAAAACATACTACAAGCCGCCGAAGAACATTAGTCAATTTTTACCATCCGTCAAGTGTAATATCCCTCTACAAGATGCAGGAGTGTACAAGTTAGATTGTGAATGTGGTCTCTCTTATATAGGTCAAACAAAAAGATCCATAAAAACCCGCGTGAAAGACCATATAGCTGACGTGAAGCACCGACGCTCCCGGAAGTCTGCAGTCTGTGAACATGTTCAAGATCGTCCCCACCATTACATTCGTTTTGATAAACCACAAATTCTCGCAAAAGAACACCGATTCCTACCAAGGATGATACGCGAGGCTATTGAAATTAAAAAACATCCTAATTTCAATAGAGAAGATGGATGGGTGTTAATTATAGGATCCACCTGCTTGGGATCCTATAATTAACAAAATTAAACCCAAACCTAAGCATACCACTGCAAGTCTTCATGATACTATAAGCTCGTTTTGCGTAAATCGGACCAAAAATTAATATTAAAAAACTGAAGGTAGCCGGACTAACTATGACATTGGGACGTCAAACATCTCAGTCCCCCCCGTGACCATGGTTGCTGTAAAGCACCCGAAACGTCGAGAATTAAAAATAAGTAAAAGTAGTGAAATAAACGCGATAAAATCCGTAAATTTAGTTTTATTCAATGTGTAGTGTTCGCGTAAATTTAAGAAATCATTATTAAAATGAAATGATAAATATACATAAATATCAATAAAATAAAAGAACTAATAAAGATCCAACCAGATGGAAGCCCTCTGCAGGGGGAGACCAAATGGCCGAGGGTTAGGGGGAAAGGGGAAAGAAACCGACAGACAATGCGGGCGGTATCGAGGAGCACTGCCTTCTGCATTTAAGCCCGGAGCGGTCCGTCACGGAGTCCCAGTCGCCTCAGATGACCCGAGTGGCTGACTGAGATTAGCCCATTCGCAGAGACGACAACAGGAATAATTTCGGTCGGCCGACCACCTCAGATGTCGTGATGTTCTGTGACATACCCAGGTATTGGTATATTTCAGCCTCGGAAATGGTCCTTAAGTTAGCAACCCTTCCCCTTTCAACATGGGTACCGCACACTTATCCGTCTCCAGCTCCATTCCAATGGAATTGCTAAATTCACAAGTGATTTTTAGCAATTCCATAAGATGGGAGCGACTGTAGGCGAATAACTTGAGGTCATCCATATAGAAAAGGTGGGTCACTTTTGTCCCTCCTTTCCGTAGCTGAAATCCTCTCCCGGATCCCTCCAGTAAGGTACTGAGAGGGTTCAAGGAGAGGCAGAACCAAATTGGACTCAGTTAATCGCCCTGGATGATACCCCTTCTTATCCTTATGTGGTTCTCCGCAGCCATCATCCGCTCACCCAGATGACAAAGGATCGTACTCCACTGCCCCATACACTGCTCGAGGAAGTCTCTCGCTGTACAGTTTATCTTGTACAGCTCGAGGTCTCCCTTTAGCCATGTATGGGGCACCGAGTCGAATGCCTTTCTGTAGTCTATCCAGGCGGCGGAGAAGTTCCAACGGTTGCGTTTCACCACTTTGCCAATGACGGCGTCAATGAGGAGTGGTGCCTTAGTACCATGACCACCGCCCCGACATCCATTTTGAGCGTGTGACATCACGTGATTTAGCTCCAGGTGACGAGTGATTCTCGCGCTCAAAATGGATGTCAGTGTCTTATATATGGTGGGTAGACAAATAATGGGGCGGTATTTGCTCGGGTCTGTGGTAACCTGGTCTTTAGAAACCAAATGAGTGATCCCAGTAGTGAAGAGGCTTGGGAGCGACTTCTGGTTGAGAGCCTCTTGAAACTGACGGGCGAGCACAGCGTGACACACCATGAACCCCTTCAGCCAGTAGTGATGCAGTCCGTCAAGTCCCGGACTTTTCCAGTTCTGGGCTCTACGGATCGCCTCAGCTACGTCATCCGGCGTTATGATGACGGGGTCCATGGGCGTAATACTCACACACTGACTCGCTACAACTTCCGTCCAAGGGCCCTCGCTGTGGTTTACGGGCTCTGACAACAGGCCACGCCAAAATGCGACAGTGTTAGCCTGATCCGGTCCTGGGCCCGCTCCACATACCTCTGGTCGCTCCAATGATTTGTAGAGCCTCTTCTGATCACTCTGGAAGAGACGATTCTGGTTGAACTGCCTTGACTTCTCGGTAAATTGGCAAATCCGCTTCCCCCAAGCAGCAATCTTTTGCTTCAGGTCGTCTATGCGCTCCGTTAGTTTCTGCGTGATATCCGGCTGGGACAAACTGATATTTGTCCCAGCAAACGCCATTCTAACGGTGCGCATAACCCTCGGTCTATTATTACCCGACCTGAAGCTTATCAGTCTGCTGATAAGGGCTTTTGCCTTTGCGTTACGGTCCTCAATTCTTTTTCTCCAGGCTGGGATGGCACTACTTTGTTTAGTAGCGCGTCCAGCCATGGGAAGTTTGGCGCCAATAATACGGCAAGCTGCCACTGCGGCGCCAAAAAGAACTGAGTCCGTCTCGGAAAGGTCTCGGCTGGCTACCAAATAGGTTACCAGCATTGGGTCAAGAGCCCTCGCGAAAGCCCGATTTCGCTTGCTTAGTGGTATGCGGAGAAGTTGCGGTCGATTTTCGAGAGGCATGCTGCGCGTTTCGAAAATCGCCTCTTCCAATATACTCCTCATTTGCTCTAGTTCGTGGGAGACCATTTCATCATCGTCTGAATCAACCACAACTGGAAGATCCACGGCGGCTTCTACGCGTGGCAGCTGGTCTGTCGCCTGAGGAGCCGCATCCCCAATAGTAGCCAATTCATTCGATGAGAGAATGGCCTCACGTCGTAGTCGTTCGAGCTCGGCATCATCAAATATTTTCGAGCACATGATGTACCGAACTCGGTCTGCCAGTTTTTGTTCTGTGACGGGAATAGACGGCTCCAGCTCAGCAGAAAAGCAATGCATCCGAGCCCGATACGCTATCCCCGCAGTTTCTGGATGCGGATGGATGCGGGGGCTGCTAGGTGATCTTGCAGCTCCTCGCGCTCGGCTTGCGGCCCGCATGCTGCCGCGTTCAGCGCCAGCTCCAGACGCGCCCCGACGACCCCCAGGCAGCGGCCTTATACGCTTTCTAATCATATCTATCATCCATTTTTGGGCGCCAATTAACAGGAGACGCCCAGGCCCGGCACCGTTTCATTGTATCATTGTACGGCCGTAAGCACAAACGGGCCTTTGCACCCTGAGTACTGCCGAGGCACGGTGCTCACACCTCTTGGCAAGGCGCTGACTGACTGCACCGACGTAGCAGTTTTGTCACTTAACTGTTTCGACAGCGGGCGATGGGGTTGTCACTTCCCTACGCCTTATTATTTACCTCATTATTATTGTATTTTTTCTCTCTCTTATTACTTTGTTAGCCTATATGTTATTTTTGATGTCATTCTAATTAACTTTTTATACCGTTTGCTATATTTGTTTGTCACATTACAACTATGTGTCACTGAAACAGGGAAGATGCTGTAGACTACCATGGGCTACAGAGCTTCAAAATTATTTGTTTGTATAAGTTATGTGAGAAAAAAATAAATATTATTATTATTATTATTATGTGAGGTATCTATATAGTTTTCTCATCTAGTTGGGTTCTCTAAATATATAATTATAAATTAAAATGAAAAGATAAATATACATAAATATAATTAAAATAAAATAAATACAAAAATACATAAATAAATAAAAGCCCAACCAGATAGAAGCCCTCGGCAGGGGGAGACCAAACGGCCGAGGGTTAGGAGGAAAGGGAAAGAAACCGGCGGACGATGCGGGCGGTATCGAGGGGCACCGCCTTCTGCATTTGAGCCCGGAGCGGTCCGTCACGGAGTCCCAGTCGCCTCAGATGACCCGAGAGGCTGACTGAGATTAGCCCATTCGCAGAGATGACTAAGGAATAATTTCAGCCGGCATACCACCCCACATGTCGGTCACCTCGTGAGCCAGGTCCAGATAATTTGTTCGTTTATCAGTTTCGGCTTTCACGAGGTTCTCGTCATACGGAATGGAAATGTCGACCAAAAATATCCTTGACTGTGGTGCCCGGTCCATCAGCACAATATCAGGTTTATTCGCAAGAATAGTCCTGTGCGTGATGATGGCCCGATCCCAGTAGAGCCTGGCGCGGTCATTTTCGAGCACGGCTTTCGGCAAGTACTTGTAATACGGCAATTTCCGGTACACGAGACCGTATTTCAGAGCGAGCTCCTGGTGTAGAATTCTGGCTACTAGGTTATTATTATTATTATTGTTATTTATATTTTCTACGTTTTCTCAGTTTGTTTTTAACAAAACTGGATTAATGGTTATTACCATGGGACAAAGCCAAGTGGGTACCATGAACTTGTTTGGTTATGGGTAGTTTTCTGTAGAGATAAATTGTCAACTATTCTATATTATTATCAGTTTTTAGAGAAAAAAAAAACATTTTCCTTTAACTGCTGTTTGGTTTTAGAAATAATTATTATTATAATGGGATATTATTAAGTATTCTCATCTAACTGGGCTGAACAAATTTATAAAATGAAATGATCATCACCATCATTACAGCCATTCACAAGTCCACTGCTGAACATAGGCCTCCATTAAGGTGTGCCACAAAGCATACATTGACTTCCTGCATGTCTTACCAGGTCGTCACTCCATCTAGTGGGGGGTCGACCTACACTTTGCCTACCGGTACGAGGCTGCCACTCGAGAACCCTTTTTCCCCAACGGTTGTCGGTTCTTCAAGTAATATGGCCGGCCCATTGCCATTTCCGCTTACTTATCCGTTGGGCTATGTCGGTCACTCTGGTTCTACTGCGAATATCCTCATTTCTAAGTCTATCACGCAGAGAAACCCCGAACATAGCCCTCTCCATAGCTCGCTGAGCGATTTTGAGCGACCTCATACGGCCCGCAGTGAAGGACCACATCTCAGTTCCATAGGTCATCACTGGCAACACGTACCAGTTGTACAATTTAGTTTTCAGGTTTTGAGGTATAACTGACGAGAAGATTTGTCGTAATTTACCAAACGCTGCCTAGCCGAGCTGAATCTGTCGATTGATCTCTCGGTCGAAGTTGAACTTACCTAGTCGGACTATTTGTCCCAGGTAAACGTACTCGTCAACAACTTCGAGCTTAGTGCTCCCAACAACTACGGACATTGGCGTGACATGATTAAATGTAAAATTTAATTTAAAATTAAACATGATCTTTGTTTTGTCCATGTTTATCTTAAGACCTATCCGTTGGGAGGCACTATTGAGGTCATTGAGCATAGTGCTTATGATCTCCAGCGATTCTGATATAAGGATTATATCTTCGGCAAATCGGAGGTGAGTGATGTACTCGCCATTGATGTTAATACCGTATCCTTTCTAGCCCAGTAGCTTGAAAACGTCTTCTAATGCAGCTATAACCTCACCTTGTCTTACACCTCTCTGCAGTTGGATAGGTTCATACTCTGGTTCTCTACTCGGATAGCCATCGTAGCCCTACTGTACAAGCAATTCAGCACTTCGATATATGGACAGTCAACTTGGCACCACTGAAGAGACTGTAGCACTGCCTAAATTTAGACGGAATCAAAGGCTTTCTCATAGTCATATACGCCAGGCAAAGTGGCGGATTGTACTCTTCGGACTTCTTGCAGAAGAGAGACAATTTGCAGAATGGTATGTATCTGGTCCATGGTGCTAAAGCCTTTTCGAAAACCGGCTTATACGGGAGGCTGAAAGTCGTCTATTCTACATGCGAGCCGATTCGTAATGACTTTCTAAAGCGGCACGTTGACGCGTCTCAGAAGGGATATCCGACATGTGGGTTGGCCACATGCCGGTGATATCGTGAGTCAGGTCCAGATATGTTGTTTGCTTATCTGTTTCAACTTTCTCGAGATTTTCGTCCCATGGAATGGTAATGTCGACCAGAAATATTCTTAACTATGCCTGGTTCATCAACATAATATCAGGCTTATTCGCAAGAACTGTCCTGTCTGTGATGATGGCATGGTCGCAGTAGAGCCCGGTGCGATCATTTTCGATCACGGGTTCTGGAAATTACTTGTAATACGGCAATTTCTGGTCCGCGAGAACGTATTTTGGAGCGAGCTTTCGGTGAATAGTTCTAGCTACAAGGTTGTGCCTGTGCAAGTCCTCAGAGTTAGAAAGTGCCGAACAACCGGATATGACATGCCTGAGTAACTCACCAGAATGGCGACAAATGTCGACGGTGCTATTCATTAGGATGTATCTCCGATAGTTGTTGGTTTTAACAACCTGATCCTGTATTACACCGACAAAAGCTTCGGTTTCCCCGAAGAGCTAACCAAAGCGTAGCCAGTGGATGGAGACTACTGGGTCTACGAAAGGCTCATGAAGAGCGTTATAGAACCTCCCGTAGAGCTCCTTCTCCTTTCATCCGGCCTCCTGGTTGGCAATGCTATGTACTGCCTGGTTTCTGCCATTGCTCGTTGTCTAAGGGTAGATGGGTGAGTCCTTTATCACCATAAGTGACGTCCTTATAGAATGAATCATCCACTCTCGCTAGGAAGTAATTACGAAGACTGCACACTTCGCGATTATGCATGGTGAGCGCGCTTAAAAAGCCACGCCTACAATGCTTTCGCGGTAAGTACAGCCTCATTACCGACGATCTAGGATGATGCACTCTATGGTAGGTCATGGTAGTGCGGACTTGATATATCCAGGGCGTTAAGTTCAGTATGAAACCACCTATGTCAAAAATATACACGAGGACATACATGACCCAACCATTATATGGGTGTGTCCTATTCACACTGAACTAAAAGCTGTTAAGCAATTTGGTCAAGCGTACATAATACACGTTGCAAACTGATTGTTTCATACCAGCCTCATCAATACCGATGTTCTTTGACATACCCAGGTATCGGTATGTTTCAGCCTCGGAAAGGGTCCTTAAGTTGACGGGCATAGATAAATCTATGCCATCAGAGTTAGCAACCCTTCCCCTTTCAACATGGGTACCGCACACTTATCCGTCTCCAGCTCCATTCCAATGGAATTGCTAAATTCACAAGTGATTTTTAGCAATTCCATAAGATGGGAGCGACTGTTTGCGAATAACTTGAGGTCATCTATTTATTATTATTATTATTTCCTCACCATGTTTTCCTTCACTGTCGATCACGTGGTAAATCTACACTGAAGATTGCAATTTTCAACCTCATTAATGCTAGCGGGAATCTCATCCGAATTGCTCACATACAATGGAATTTACGGAGTGCTACCGCAGCTCTTATCGAATACCAAAACAATAATAATAATCAAAACTTTAAACTTTAGTAACAAAAAATACTCATTTTATTGAGTAATAAATGCAGTTTTAATCGTTATCTATTAATTTTTTGATTAATTAATTATCATGTTCGATGTCCAGTTTTTACCAGCAAGCCAAATTTTCGGAATAATAAAATAAGAACCGACAAGTAACAGGTTTAGAACTTGCGAAGGCTATAATATAATTCGTATATGAAAACTAGCGAAGTCAGACCTTAGGCTACAATACATTATCCTAAGTTATAGGAAGAAACGATATTTTATGTTGTTATAAATAAATTTAATTTTTAACCTTGAACTTGGCACCTATTTAGATATCACTTATTTCGTCGTTGAAGTCAACAACCAAGGCATATAATAAAAATATAACCACAAATATATCAGTTTTTTTTTTTAAGAAAACCTATTAATTTCGTAGCATAAATCGCCACCTCATAGGACAACGTTTATGAAGAGAAAAAAGAGAGAAAAGTTTGTGAGCGCTGCTGCCAGTGGAGTTACCTGCTGCTCGCTCGGATCTCGGACACGTTCGCGTCAAGGTTTTATCGCAACGCTCCCACCCCGCTCCTCTTGCGGCGTACCACGCGCTGTGTACATGTTCATAAT